ATCAACATAACACCAGTCCTCTCTAGACTTTTGGAAAAAGTAATTAAAAGCAGTGTCTCTGATTACCTAATAACAGAAAACCTAGTCGCAAAGTCTCAGCATGGTTTCATTAAGAATAGGTCCTGCGTTGCTTGCTACTTTGATTTCTTCAACTTCATCACTAGTAACCATGAGGCTAGTAAAGTCGTCGTTGTTCCATACTTTGATAAATCAAAGGCATTTGATAAGGTGTCTCATAAGGTACTCCTTAATAAGCTACAACCAATTGGTATTAGCGACCTCCTACTTGGTGGGATAAAATTATTTCTTGGTGATCGTGCCCAAATAATCAAAGTAAACCCCGTGCAGTCTGAACCTAGACATATAACTAGCAGAGTTATACAGGGCAGCGTCCTTGGGCCTTTGTTAATCATAATTTATATTAACAGTGTGCGTAACTGCTTCAATGAAGGCAAAACATTCCTATACGCCGATGACTTGAAGGTTGTGTACACTTGTCACCTTCATTAACTACGTAATACTCTAGATACTGCCCGACCGGAACTAAGTAAACTTGCACCATGGTGTGCTGAGTCGCACTTTGGACTCAATAATGACAGATGTGGTTGGCTTACCATAGGCAATGACAACCATGACCTGAGCCTCGAGGTATGCGGAAAGCAGACACCTAGACTAGCTTCTGTGCTAGATATTGGCGTCGGATGTTACGGAGACTTGACGTTCTCGGAACAAACAGAATATATCAGATCCAAGTCACTCAAACCTTTGGGATGTATCATTCGTAAATTCTATAGCACTGACTCACGGGTTCTACTCTATAAATTGTGCATTCGCCTACTTTTAGAATATTGCCCGTTCATTCTCAGCGGCCTCCGTCGAAGTGACACACTGAAAGTTGAAGCGGTACAACGTCATTCACCTTCAGAACATTAGGAATTGACTGTAATCTGGACTACACGTCCAGATGGGACATGTTGGGGTTAGAAACACTCTGGGAGAGGAGACTTAAACTGAACCTTATATTTTAATATAAGTTACTTCATCAGCACTTGCACCCTCATGGTCCGCAAACCAAGCAAATTGTAACGTCTACATACAGTATGCGCAACCACAAAGTATTGGTTGAAACTGACTGTCGTGCGACGAGCTTGCGAGATAATTCCTTACTCAATAAATTCTGACACATTTGGAATAGGCTTCCAGAAGGAACTCGTGCGGCAAGCTCGTTGACACTTTTCCGCTCTTCACTTAATGGGCTATTAATAAACGACGAGTGTATCGCCCAATTAGCTACCATCTATACTTCCTGGGCTAATGAGGACGTACTTGAACCTCTAGATATATGAAAATGAGCTATTACAGCCCTTGAGTTCCTCCTACACCTATAGGTTGACGAGTGCTTACAAGGGTGTGAGTACTGCTTCCCCTCCTCACTATAATGAACTTGTGTGCGCTGGTTCCCTCTCAAAGCTACTACGATACACCCCAGGTATAGAAAAGTTTTAAGAATCTTATGATGGAAAAACTACGTGGTTAATCACACATACGAATATGAAAATGTACATAAAGTTCGGATAGGTCTGGAAGTATGGGAACTTCTCCCTTTTCCAAGCTGGTCTGCTTGGTAATTCCCTTTCTCCCGTCTGCTCGGGCTTCTTCTTTCTTTTTTTTTACTTTACAGCAACAGCTCGATGACGACATTCAGTGCTGAACTCCAATCTGGACATATCTACTAAGTGGAAATAATGCCTGATGTTTAACTCCATGAATTATTGAACTGCTCCCAATCTTTCGCGGTTCCTGGAACATCTTCACAATCAGCTTATCAGCTGGACAGGACTTTTCTTGCGATGAACCGTCTAAAGTTTCCCAACAGCCACAGTGGCACAAATATTCTGAACAAATGATCAAACGAGAGACCACTAAACCTATTGGCTCGGAATATGACTTACCTGCAGTAATTCCACACTACATGCTTTATAGTACTCTGTATCAAGTGATGTTTTCAAGTAAAAGTTACCATGCGTCAAATGATGCTGCTTACGCTAATATGAACGATGCCTGAAGTTAATATAACTGATGCAGTTTGGACTCTTAACCACCTCAACGTCTACCTTCATCTACTACTAGAAGTACTCCCAGTGGAATTAATGTATACTACCTTTAAACCACATGATGAACTGGAAATGCATGGATTTAGGTGCTCGCCTTGGTTATATAACTGTGGATACTTACTGCAACTCCAGGTGGTATAAATAGGCCGTTTGTGGTTAGCAAGGCTAAACACTGAGGAACTTGCTAGTGAATGGGCATTTATATTACTGAATAAGAAACTATGCAAGTGGGCTAACAATGTCGTCTAGTTATAACGCAAACTTCGAACATTGAGTGCTATTGTCGCTGATACTGGAGCCTATCTGTGTAATGACAGATGGAAATCCATACCCATCCCTTGATATTCAGCAAGTTTTAATAAGTTTGTGCCTATCAATAACTTGCCATGTGAGTTATATAATTTCTGGCACTATTCTGTAAACTTTCAAAATCATCATTTTGACGGCGCTTGTGAACTGGTATCTGTCATGTTAATTCCATTATATGGAAATGAGAATTTTTACTATCTTCACTTTGACGCTCTGCATATGCTGAAAGTGGTATTTTCTTTGTCCCCTAACCGCGATATGGTGTTTTTGATGGAGTGCTGACGCAAAGCTGGGTCCTGAAGATTCATACTTCTGCCGTTTACAGCCATATAGTGTGTGACTTTTCGCCAAAATAATTTTTGACCAAATGCTACTAAATGCAATGTTCTTTTGAGATATTTTGCCGTCCAACAAGCCTTTCCGTCTTTTTCATCAGTCTTCACACCTAGGTAGGGTTCTGATTAGCTGACGTACAACCGGCCGCCTGTTAGATAAAATCAATATAACACGCCTCCCATAACTAGCGAGTTCGAATTTTGTTCGATTGCTGCTATGCCCGCTGCTAAAAGATTCGAGTAAGCATAGCTTTCGCTACTTTGCTACAGCAACCTCTACCCAATGTTTTCAAGCCGAGGTGCGGTGGACGGTACCTGATATGCGGCATTTCACACTATCTAGCGGCAGCTGATCCGGTAGTGTTCGCCTTCATGTGTCATCTGGACCTTACCCCCGTAAACACATTAAAAGCACCACACGACGTTTCTATCACGGTGCCTTTTGACAACCGGCCAGAGATAAATGAGTGAGAATCTGCCTATTCGTCCAGTGTAACTTAACATAATAATAATGACTTGTCCTTGCAAATAAAAGCACACGCCGGTTTACAGGCATGATTACATAATTATACCAACTAAACTTCGATGCCGGTAATTGATTGATAATTCGAAATAATTGAGGTAATGCACAAATAAAACGAAATTATCCAGGTTGAAAACAAAATATCAAGTTCCAGTGATCAAAGGATCCGGCAAAACATAAGGTCCAAAATAGAAATATTTCACTCAAATTTAGAAACGGAAGGAGTCCCAAGTCACAATTTAAGCACCTGTTGCCATAGTCGCGGTGACTAGAAATCTCACCGGGTATAGCAGAATCCGTACGCCTTGCATACGTTGAGAGTAGTGGTCAGAGTTTACAAATGGCTGTTTTTAGATACTGGGAATAAAGTTTGAGGCGATGAGTACCGGGTTCGGGCCTCAGTAGGAACAACCCCCCTCACTGGAGCGAGGGTACATCCAACTGACAAATCCAAAATAGGACGTCCTGAATCCCCTGTTATTCACCAAGGTCAATACAAGGTGGAGTTAAAGTTTGTTTAGTCACCTTAAAAGTGTTCAATGTCTGAGAGGTCACCATAGTTAGGGGGGATGCCAGTGTCTTTCCAAGCTGGACAAGGACCAATGTATAATTTGGCTGCTGACGGAAAGCAAACCGCATCACCTTCACGGCAGGGGATATATAGCAACCAAGAAGACACAAACAGCATAACCATTTAAGCCTTCAGCAGTTAGCCTCTATAGCTGAGACAGATACACGGAAAACAAGAGGGAAGCGAGGGCTTAAAGAAGACGAAAGAAAATGTGGATGCTTTTTACCTGATATGTTTAATGACATACTCCAAGAACTAAAGCATAGATAATTTGTGTACACAGAATATAAACTTGTGTCTACTACACTACAGAGTTGCATTTATCAGTGCTAATAACGGCTGGTTACTTCTGGGTGACACAGGTTAAAGGCTGTGGCCATTCTAGCTACTATGGCTTAGTTCACTTGATAGCAGCTTGCGAGACACTGCGTAATCGGAGTTAGCTGAACCGTGGAATTTAACTAAGGAAACCCTCATGGAGACCCGAAGAGAATTATCTATCAGAAGGTGTAAACCCGTGTGTCTCCATAATTTTCTCTCTTTGAGTCTGATGCCACTGGAATTCACTGCCTGCTTATGTAGCCACCGCTCCATATGTCGATAGCTTCAGTGAAATTTCGCAGAGCTTCGCAGTGACGTACAGGTTACACCCATTTGGGATAGTGGCTAGGCTAAAGCAACCAGCTGACTCTGCAGCATTCCAACACAGCTACCTCCATGCCGATTCGCCTGTAATGCCACTACCACGATGGACTCGGCCAACTCTGATACACCCCCATTAGTTTTCTCATCTCTTCTGTCACCATATCACCACTAATATCAGGATTTCCATTTCCCTTGTCCATACTATGGCTTTCCGTCTTTGCTGTCCTCCCTCTAACTTTCCATGATTTCACCTTATCCGTCAAAGATCTCCATGCCACCGTTTACTACCCCGTCTTACTCGGGTCTACCTTTCCATTAATTCTACTTTCCTCACTTTCATTTCCATTACTTTTTTCTTTTCTTCTTCTTGACTATGTTTTCATTACCTCTGTCTTCCTTTTATGACCACTTTGAACAACTCCCTAGCATCACAACATCTGAGGAACCTGTTTAGATGATAGTCTTAGTAAAAATGGTACACTTCCTTACAAATTTAAACAACACCCAACAACTCACCAGGCTCACTAGCGATACAGAAGGCAGGTGGGTGGATCTACTGCACCACTTTAGATTGAAGACAATGGGAGAGGAGCGAGTTTGAAGAAATTAAGCAGCATGTTAGATCAAAAAAAAGATATTGGATTGGGTTTTGGATATTTTACCGCGTATTTTGAGAAAATAATGAGTTATGGGGAGTCGGATGAAGTATAAAATATGTATCAACTGGTAGTTCTAAAATCCTGTTTATTTTTCAAATAGCAAAGAGAGCGTAGCTGAAAATAATTTCATTATTCATGAGGCTTTTTGCACTCGAAATTTGAGAAGGTGTTCAGATTGTGGTAAGACTGTTATGAGGACTCAGATGTCCAAACACCGATTGGAAAGACATGGGAAAACCCCTTGTACCAATTATGAGCCTCTGATCGAAAGCTTTGATATGACAGAGCCTAAAGTATGTCTTGGAAAGATCTTTATTCGACATTAGGTTGTGTGCCAAAGACAACTAGTGGAGTGTGTATTTTGCAATTTGGAAATAAATATTGACGAGTTAGATGAACATGATTCAAGATGTGGCAGCAGAACGGAACTTTGTATACACTGTGGCCGTTTTGTGATGCTGAAGAACATTAAAACTCATCACTGCAGGATATACACAGGTAGTTTTTCTGTTAATTTATTGATGAATTTTTAGAGCGACCAAACCATTCCCAGGGTGTATGTTCTCTTTCCATCTGATGATATTTATCCAGGTTTATGAGGACGACTATCTAATGGCGCTGGGAATGCAATGCGAAGATTACATACAGTATTTGTCTCTAAATGAAAACATAGAAAGTAAGACTCATCTTCGACACGATGAGAAGAGATCGATGACATTAGATAAAAATACTTCGTAAGTCCTTCGTCTCGTTTTTCATTTCGCAGTGGTGCACTCAAATTTTCAGTCCTTAAAGAGATTATTACGTTTACTCGCACTATGTTTAGTATTCAGTACTCAGCAATAACGATAGTATTTTGGTTGTCCTACGTCAATCGTTACAGTAGTCAACGCTGTGAAGATCTATTTTTTCCTGGGACTAATGTCGCTTTCTGAGGTAAGCAGTTCCAATCGTTGGTCGTGATGGGAGAAGTGCAGGACCATGGTAAGTTGATTTGACCGCGCTTTCTCGATTTTCTTGTGACGTCTTCAGCTACAATCACTCTTGGCTGGAGAGGAAAGTTCATAAGTCCTTAGTGGGTTCATTATTAAGGATATGGGATGTCAGCATGAGGCTATATTCAGATCTAAGGTAAGACTAGAGATTAATCCAATTGATCTAATCCTTCCTCATTAGGGAGAATATAAAGGCAGGCTATAGGCTTAGTAACTTCCTTTCGAACTCACTCAAGTACATCTATATTGGCTGTTTGAATTCAGTAGTCCAAGTAAGGTCAGACGTATCCGGAGTAGAATATCCTGAACGATTAAACAACCTAGCTCAGAAAGCACGACTAGACAACCTAGCTCAGGGAACACAATACAACCAAGACCATCCACCTGAGCTACAAATATTCTCCATATCCTGGTCAAAACTTCTGAAAAGTCTTCGTAACACCGAAACCTTTCGGTGTAGCTGTATTGAAGTGCACGGATATTTTCAAATCATCGCTTATAATGACACCCAAGTTTTTTAGTTCTCAGATGGAGTAATGTGTACTACTAATGAAATATTGAAATTCTTTTTGAAGGTTTGTGGGGATTTATTGATTTTAGGATGGTATTTATCACGGGTCGATATCAGTTGAAGAACCTTTGGAAACCCGGGAGCCACTGGAAAGTCACTTTATTGTGATTTCTGAATAGTGTGCGCTCATGAGCTCATCAGGGATCAAACTCAAGGCCTTTAGTTTTCGCTGCGAGCACGTTTCCGTTGAATTACTTGGTTGGAGTTCAATGGTCCACATTTTCCTACCTCTGTGAATTCGCGATATAGCTCGATCTTCATACAATGCCATCGCTGGGTAGTTGTCTTCATGCTCGACTTGGTTTGCCCACCTGCTTTAACTTCTTATTGGAACTGTTGAGGAGTCCCAAAGTAGGACGAATTTCCTGTTCCGTGTTCCTAGGTTTTTTGAACTGTCCTGCAACTGATATTAGTTTGTGATGCATACCACCTTGAAATCTTGGAATTGCCATGCTCAGTGTAAACTTTTGCTATCGTAAATTCCAAGCACTATCATTTGGCTTAATTTACCAGTTCAGCTATATCCGCTTGAAGCGCATACCTATCGATATCATCACTTATGAATCCAGAGTTTTACATCATCGTCGAACAGTAGCACCAAAGACTTGATCGTCTGCTGTAATTTTCTAACATTTGGTTGTAAAAGGAGAAGAACTAGGACTGTTCCCTAAGCAACTCCACTCACCGTAGTTTTCCACCTGTGCAGTTTTCAGTAACGCTGACTGTTTATTCTCTATCTTATAGACGTTTTTTAATTCAGATTCATAATGTAGTACCAAACCCGAAAAGTGGGGGGCTTTTCTAGTAATTTTACCTGCGACACTTTGTCGAAAGCCTTACTGAATTCTAGGAACACGGAGTCTATTAGCGATTTGCTATCATGAAGTGCAAGTCGTTTATCTCTTGCAGAGAGGTTTGTTGAACAGAAGTGTCCAGTCCGAAATCCACGTTGCAGTGGCATCAAAAGATTGCTTAATTCAAAAGTGTTAAGGACCTTACCATGAACGTTTTTTCGAAATCTTTAGTGACTACACTATTTGGGCTCACACGGCGATAGTTATATGCTGACTCAAGATTACTGGCCCTAAAATATGCGTTGGTTGTGGCATCCTTCCAGTCTCTAGGGAGAGGCGCCCTGAATAAGAATATGTTGAAAAGACTAGTATCTGGCTCAGTAACCATGTCCGCAGGTGAATATAACATTTTAGGGTGCAAACTATCAGTACTTGGGGATTTTCCAAGCTTAAGACTACTAAGTAACTGAAATGCTGTTTCTTTTGTTATATGCACTGTACTGATTAGTAGGGCAGTTTTAATACCACTATCTTGCACTTCATTATCTCGACCTTCCGAGAAACATTCTGCTTTGGACGGGTTAGATTCCTCCAGGCCGTTTGACTTATAGTTTATCACCAAATGGCAAATTTCACCTTTTCTTGTCATCCTTAGTGTAATGAATGACATCTTTTGGGGCGGTTTGGTAGTCACTTACAAGTTGTTTCTACTACGATATTAAAGATCATGTAACCAAAGTTTTGTGTAGATTGCGGGCTTTACACTGCTTATTTTCAGTTGTCTCCAAACCAGTTTCTGCAAACGACTTCCGTAAACTTTCTTCCTTCTTGATATGCTTTGAGCATCCTTATTAAACGATCAGGGCGATTTGAGGGTCTTCATATGGTCGGTTATGAAATAAATGGGATTTTTGCCTTTCTAAGTGCAGTTTTCAATCTATCTTAGGCGTTCTCAATAGATGAGTTCTTATTGGTAGTCCAGTCTTTATTGATTGCACAGTCCTTTATGCACGAAATGTCTGCATGCCACGCATCAAATCTAAGGGCAACACTTTCGTAATCATACTCATACCTCCGGAAACCAAAGGTTAATACAACATGACTTCTATTCTCTGGGGGGGGGGAGTACCGTAGCTTAGTAATATTTTCACACTAGTGACCTGAAATCAAATTTGATAATGGGAATCCGTTTTCGAAATAGTAACATGTAATACAAGTTATGTTTTGAACTGAAGCTGGCTTCAGTACCCTTAAAAATAGGTCATTTTTGACGCAACTGTCTAGGGCTAGGTATATGAGCTCCTTTCAGGTTCGCACCTATCAGACATCTATTCCTTCTACTCTGGTTACGTATATGAATCAGCAAAAAGTAATTTTCAAGGTTTAGATGAGCTATAGTAAATTACCCCATTGGTAAAGGCATCTTGCTGTGACTTCAGTACAAAAATGGTCATTTAGCAGGTATCGCATTCATGTGCTTCTAAGACGATTGATTGCATGTGGAGGTCGTCACGGACATATATGAGTATACCTGCACCCCTGCGACCTGGAATCCTATATATTTCAACTCAGGGTTACCCCTGGAAAACTGGCGTAAAATTTAAACTCTTTACCAGTCAGGTTTCAGTAATGGCCACCACACAGGGCTCTAGTTCCAAGACTATAAGGCTAGAGTTCTAAAGATTTCTCCCTAGTACTTCGTACGTTGGTGTCTGACTGTAAAGGGAGTACTGAGCAAGTATATGACGCTGATCCAAGCACTCTACTCTAACTCACGCAGCCGCGTAAGGGATTACGGAGAGTTGTCGTCGGAATTGAAGACACCTTAGGCACGTCTGACTTCACAGGGGTTGACCTACTACCTGGAGGTTATCTTGTTGACTTGAAGTATGCAGACGATATTGTCCCGCTGAAAGAAAACGCTGGCGAAATGCAGGGTCTTCTGAACGCGTTAAGGAGAAATCTGAGTATCTTTGGCATAGTTTTTCTCTGGGACTTGTCAAGTGTAAGATGATGTTCCAGGACCAGTCTGCTGCAAGTACTCACAGTTTAATGATACTGAATTAGGTATTGGAACGTGTCGACCAATTCACTTACTTGAGGAGTTGTGTCAGCTCAAACTTGCTTGTTGCCGACGAGATCTCAGCTGGGATATAGACGGTCCGTTTCACACTTGCCAACTTGCCTCATTTCTAGCACCAACTGGCGACATATCCGACTATCTATGGAAGGCGTGAGGCAGTTAAAGGGTTCTGACCACACGTGTCTTCGTAGCATTGTTCATGCTGAATGGAATCACTGTGTGAGCAGTTTTTCTGTCAGACGAAGGGTAATAGGTAAGATGCGCAAGTCGATTGATGAGGTTGTGAACATTAGTCGACTGCACATGCCGAACTATCATCTACCACCACGTACCATGCTAGGAGAAGTATAATTAGGTCGTAAGATGGTTCATGGTGGCCAGACCAAGATGTAGCACACGTTGATGAAGTCCCAGACTGTTTCTTTGAGGCGTCTAGGGAGATGTAGACTACGTGACTGGGGTTCAGGAGACAATAGCAATCAATGGTTAGTCCAACGACTCACCTTTATAGGCCTTGAAAGCATTCCATCCCACTATTTCGCAACCCAGAAATCAACATTTTAAATATTATTTTCTCCAATCTCTTGTCTAGCTTGCGGTTTGGCAATTGCTTCTCTTCTTTTCATCTGATTCTTGAGAGGCCAGTCTGGCCGGATACGAAAGTCGAATTTCGTATTTTGAATGCGTTTTTCAGGAGTGAATTCACTTCGTCTCTGTTACTTGGGTTAACTTTCAGAATCCTTCACCCATTGAGTTTATCACTTTTTTCTCACCCCAATCCAACTACTTTAGAGATACGTCAAAAATTCTTCATTGTAGGATATATTAAATGCCCAGCTTAATCAGCTTCTGATCATGTATATGATATGCTGAAGGGTCTTTGCCTACCGACTCTTTAACGCTGCCGAAGGTCATTCTAGACTTTCATGGGATGCCCTTTTATCTTATGTTAACAGCGTTTGATGCCTTCTCAACGGGTTTCATAAACTTCATAGTTTTAGTGTCAAATTTTAAAAGCTTCTTCTAATTTCCTCTCGGAAAAATCCAATCGAACTCATTGTTCATCTGTGTAGCATGAACATCATTTGTAGAGGCAGTCTTTCGGCGAATCAGAAGGCATCGTAATTGATGTGCCAGTCACTCAGTTTTGTCTTACATTAGTTACACGTCGGAACTAATATCATGTGACATTGGTTCAAATTTAGGGGCGTCTTCGTCTGACTCCACATTGGTCTGACAGTTGTCATCCACATATGTGTGCAGATTGGTCAGTAGCCTTTCAACCCCTGTC